GAAACCCCAATGACTTACGGTAAAAATAAAAAAATATCAAAGTGCCTGTAATGGTGCCTGAATTCGCAAGTGCCTGGTTTTAGGGAGACCCCCTTACCACTGACCGGTACCAGTACGGTATCGTAGGTCTGCAGGTAGGGTACCGTAACTGTATAATCTAAATGCAGAAATCGGTCAGCCACTACCGGTACGGTACTTCGTTGAGGGCCAAAGTGACTATAACACTTATACCGGTACGGTACCGTAGTCATTTTTTTCAGACTTCATGGCAGCTCCTGCCACGAACGAACCGCGGCGTCTCTTGTCATGGTTTATGGCGCCATTACTGGTATATTCACAAACTTATGTAACAGATTTTAGTGTATCATGCGGAAAATTTCTACTTAACCCCAAATCCACCAAAACTGTATCCATAAAAAATGTTCCAACTTACCCAATATTTGTCACCATCAGGGGCAGCCCTGTCTTTACGCCCGACTTTTTTGCGGTTTTGCGGACAGCACTTCGTTGATGTGGATTACTGCAGCACGGATCGGAAATGAACTGTACCAGAGAGTGTCAGGAAAACGCAAGATTGAACAATTCAGAGAAAGACGAAAGGAACGTGCCAGTGCCGGTAGTTTGATTAAGCTTTTTATGCCCGTCCTGATTAAATCATAATCAGGTCGTGTAAATTTTAGAGAAAAAATAAATGGAGTAGCCTTCTAACGACTTCTTCCGTCTTCAAGTACAGAAGTACTGAAAATATCAAACTGATTGTTCAAACACGATTTTACATATCACTGTGTTATGGACAACACCATTTGGTTACATACTGGTAACTATTTTTGCAATTTGGAGGGTCTGGGGGTCGGAAAAGACAACTGACAAGTCTGAAAGTGGGAAAGCTAGAAAGTGAATACAACAGAGTTGTGAAGAAATGTGATATGACTTTTTGCCCACAAATATTGCACTCATAACTACACAAGCCAGTTTAATTCTGTAATTTGATTTTTTTAATTCTGTCGAACTTATATTTGGCCACTTCATGAATGGTATTAATCAGCACTTTACTATATCTCAGGATGTCCTGTTCACTTTATAACAAAGTTAAGGACTAAAGAGTTTTCACTATGAATAGTATAGTATGCTGGGCATTGCTGGCAGGTGATGGAAATTTTAAAGACACCCACAAATTTTCCAATTGCAAGTGTGCTTTCTGTTTTAATATGGTTGTTTGTATTGTGTTACTTTTGATAAATATGCCTTGAATTGTTCATCCTATTTCAATGGCAAAATTATCCATGTTGTATTTTTTATGAGCTCCTGCAACCTTACTCTGTGGATATTATTTTGGCAATATCTACTTTTTCCTCTTCTGCTGCCAATAAGTGGTTATGTACCACCTAGAACACCAGCATAATTTGAATTTTCTACTGTAACATCAATGTTTCACTTTTGCTCATGGTATTTCTTTGTGTGAGTGTGTAATTGAGATTGCTTTTACTGTTTTAATAAATGATTTTACACCTCCATGTTGCCTGCTAATATTGACAGTGTTTGGATATTGTTTTGGTAAATAGTTCCAATGTATATAGCTTTTTTGTGTTTTTTCCTGTGTTACTAGTCACTATTTTCTTCTAACATTGGCACGCATTGTTAGGTATTTGTATTCACAGCTATTGGCACTCTATTTTTATCCCCATTATTCAAAACGTCATGCTGCTTTTCAACCATGTATTTATTTATCTGTCTTGCACATTTGATAGGTTTTTAGCTTGGCCATAGATTTTGACTTATATATTTCTATGCTATATAGGATTCTCAGACCCAAAATATACAGAATTCGAGATCAGCTTTTTTTTATATATATTTACTGCAAGGCTAATCCTGGCGATTTCTCAGCTACCATAATCGTATACGAACATTTGAAACATCTATCAGAGACGGAGGAGGTCGTTGGGATTCTATTACATTTAATTTTATCTACCTGAATTTTGCTGTCTTATTTCGAACGCAACATTTATTTTACTCCATGTAAATTATTCACTGATTCAAGCAATTATTTGGCTTTTATCATTTTAAATTGAGTTATAAGAACTGCCCGATTTTGAATCGTGTCCATATTTTTTGTATAATCGTATTATTTTTACTTTTTGGTGGGTGGGCACGTACTTGTACGTTTTTTAACTTTATTTTAAGTTATGCTCGCCTTCCAGGTATCTCTGTATTTGTTGTTTGTTTACTTTTTTGTGTTGTTCCGTTTTAGTTAGAGAGCCGAAATAAAATGATTGATTGATTGATTTTGGTTAAGGCTAATACTACCCGTATGAAACTGGAACAAGAGAGCTGTGCTCAAAATGCTCAAATATATGGACACGTCACAAGGTGTCGCTATTTTTTATTCCGACACATAAAAAACGAATCTCTTGAAGTCCGCATAAATTTTCGAAGTAAATAAAAGTAATAGCTTTCTGGCAACATAATCAATCTTTAACCACTGAAAATTTCAAAGCAAGTGGTCCAGTATTCGAAGTAAAAAACGAATTCATTATGACGAAAAAGAAGAATAACAACAACATAATATTGAAATGATCGTTATGTAAACTGACCTGTCCAAAAATCAGTAGGCCAAATGAAACAGAGTGCTACGGTTTGCTCACATATGTGAACACGAAAGGCAAAAGTAACAGGAAATGAATGCGGTAACTACCAGTGGCCGTATCGGGATAACTCGACCACCCAGGACAGCTAAAGTCAAGTCAAGTTTTATTTTTCCAACCAGTAAAAAACAAAATAAACTTGCAAAAATATGAAGAAAAATGATATTCACAATACTGAGGATAGGAAACCGCGGGGAACCACAACTGGTAATCGAGCTTCGACTCGATGAGCTCGTACAGACCAAACCCCCGTGGTACAGACAACTCGACTACATGGACAAATGGTATTATAGACAAGATAGATAGATACGACAGTTTCTTTTAAAATCTCCACAATACACACAAATTAAAAATGGAGAATTCTGAAAACGAGCCAATCCTTTATAAAAGTTCAAAAATGAGTATCACGTGCACGCTCACCAACACGCATTTGCAAAAAACTACCAATCTTGTTATACAAGACTTGGGCCAGAAAGGAACACACAAAAAATATACGCAAATGTCCAGCTACCAGGGTACGGGTAACGGTACATACACTGTCATAGCTTTTCTAGGTCCTGTGACGATTACCCATTCTTCATGATTCAGTTTCAACGTGAATTGAATGGAGGTCGACTCGATTATCAAACAATCGCTCTGCGAAGTTAGGATATCGATGCTCGAGAGGCAGACAACTTATCAGTCGAGCAATCGCGCTGCGAAGTTACCAATACAATGTCGATGCTCGAGAGGAAGACATCTCGACTACCCAGCAATCGAGAGACAGATATCTCACCTACTTTCATGAGGCGGAAAGATAACGTCTGTCCTGTCTGTTCCTTTTTTTTCGACTTGGAAGGAAATCCCAACCCAAAGACTGAAAACTTCTCGCGGTGAGTTGGCTTATAGTTATAACCAGTGGTTAGATTCAGTCGGTTCGCACCGGTTCTATAGAACCGTCTCACGGAATTTTATGAGATCAGCGAACCAATTCAAATTACTGGTTACTGTCGATGTTCTGTTTGTAACAGAACCGGCTGGAAAAAAAGAATTTTATGAAGGAACCGGCTGACAAAAAAATTGAATTCCACCACTGGTTATAACTAATATCAGTCGGCAACTCTGTAAACGCTAAGCAAGTAGGCAAGTTGTCTGCCTATCGATATCGTTACTCCGAAGTATGGTTGTTCATAGTTAAGTTTATTTTTTCCATCCAGTAAAAAATAACATACGAAATTGACAAAATACAAAATTGAACACACAGTTTTACTGGGGAAGGGAAGTCGCGAGGAACCAGGATTGGTTATCGAGCAGCGACACCCATGCAAGGTTCAATATTTAATTTCTAAGGTCGGAAATTTATGTTCGGCTGATTGTCTATTTTTCATTGCTAGGTAGTCGAGTTGTCAGCCTCTCGAGCATCGACATCGTAATTTCGCAGACCGATTGTTCCGTGGGCGAGTTGAGAGTCATGTGATCGTCGGCGTCTCACGAAGCTCAAATTCGTGAACATGTATGGGTTAATGTCATGTCTGGAGGTTTTTATATGTTTAAAAATACGTACCCAATATATACATTCAATATCAACAAAATTATGTGTAATTCCCAAAACCAATATTGTCTCTGTTGCATCTGATGATATTGGCTTTTTTCTGGTAAATATCCATTTACAATTATACTTGAGGAAGTGTTTTTATATAAAGTAATTATCAAATTATTAGGGTATTTTCCAAATACAGATTTTTCAATAATTTAGGAAGTTTATTCCTATCTACCATATCATATGCTTTCTGTTGACCTATCGAAAAAATAAGTAATGGTAAATTTTCTTTATTAGCTCAAAATATATCGTTCCTAATAGAAAGAAGGTTTTCATTAATTGATCGTCCCGAAACGAGCGCAGTTTGATTAATGTCAATTAGGTCTGGCAATACTGTTTTTATTCTGTTTACAATAATTTTCGCTATCAATTTGTAATACAAATTTAGTAATGTAATAGGCCGCCAATTCCTCATGCCTATTTTTTCTGCGATTTATTGCTTTTAAGGTTTTGTATCTTACGCTAATATATTTATCTTTCTTGTCTAAACACAGTTGAAGTCACCTCCAACATGAATCTGATATTGTGAATTAGGATTTTGGTTTACACCGCTTTCTATTAAATTTTGCAATGCTAAAAATAATTCACTTCTATTTGGGGCATATATATTTAGTGAGGTACTCCGAATAAGATACTTTGATGATTGTTCAATTAACACTTCAACTATTTGGTCAAATCGATGAACTATTGCTATTAACATAGGCGCGCTCATTATGTTCCCTAGTCTTTAGCCGAAGATATCTTGTAAATGAAATATTTTTGAAGTGCATTCGATTTAATTTTCATTACCTTATCATTTATATTTGTTTAAAGAAAGTCACCGACATCAACATATTAATAAGTATAACTTTGTACAATTATTATTCCGTGTATACTTTATTCATCAGTTTCATAAACATTAATATGTTTTGTAATATAATGTTATTTATTTTCTAAATGCTGCTTCGATTTGCAATTTTCATTGGTGTGACATCTTTGCCAAGCTTGTTTGCCAACACCATATATTTGCTCTTCAAGTCATCCATGTTTACGTAATATCCCTGTAGAACAGAAACGAAGTACATTGATCAATCTACACCTCAAACCACAATTTCCGATAAAAATAGAATATCAACATCGTTGTTTCAGATACGAAGCTGGAATTCGTTTTGCAAAGCTGTTACATTATTAAAATTGACAGTGGGTAACTTACATGTAGACATCTATCTCCGTCTTCAATTGCTGTATATGCTTGTCGTGCATGTGCCCCACGGTGGTTATTCATAACCAGCATTTCTCCGTTTTGCAATCGAAAAATAAACTGAAAAATGGTATATTGGTGAAAGGACATTCCTAAAATACATTTTAGTCTTGACTACTGTTTGGATGCATGAATATCTGACCACGAAACTGTGATAATTTTGAGCAATTTCTTGTGAAATGCTTTGAAGCATAATTCACGAGACCAAACGTCTTTAGCGGGTATAACATACATACTTGGATGATATGGATTGTGAGTGAACACGATAAATTGGCGTATTTTACCTGGTTCTCTGGATTATGTACGACGTTCATGAAAGCTTTATGGGCTTGGTAGTAAGCATCTACATCACATTGCTTTATTCGCAAAGTTGTTTCTATAGCCGGATGCCAATTTACTGCAACTATCTAAACAAAAAAGATAGTGTGACTTGATTAGTACAGTTACTACTAATCTCAGCATAGGTTAAGTGAAAACAAACATTTGTATTCATGCAATATTTGTTCTTCTATTATAGCTACTCTTCCATGATCTCAAAATTGACTTGATTAGCTACAATCGCTGAAGCCTGTTCGTACACGGCAATTGGTTAATTCAACGGACGAGTAGAGAATATGTGTCGGCATTTTCAAGTATTTATTTAAGATAAGCGCGCAGCATTACCTCGCCAAAGTAATCCAACTCGATATGTGTTTTTGAATGCTTCAACCAACATGGCATTTCACGTTCCAGATCAACTGTTTCGTGTCCGCCGGGAACTGTACACAAAGTTTTAAAATGTTCCGGTTCGATCTTTCTTAAGATTTCAGCACATCCAATCAAATCAACAATTTTGCTTTCTCCCCCAATAACTGCTTCATCAAATCTGCAAAGATAGTTGAATTGTAAAAAAATATTTTTATTCGGATAAAATTGGTATTCTGGCAATCTATTTTTAACAGATTTATACGTATATAAAAGCAATCCCTTATATATCGCACGATAGGAAATACCTGAAAGCATGGAGTAGTTGAACTCCCGGAGCAGATTCATACATCGGTAAGTCTTCGTGTGAAGGAAGTTTAACCTGAGTGTAAGCGGCATTGCATGGCTGGGCTACGCTGCGAACTTCCCAGTTCTAATATATATAAATTTATATATATACATATTCATACCTGTATCATTTAAATCACTTGAACATATTATTGTTCCAACTAGTTGGTCGCTCGTCAGAACGTGTCCTATTTGTCATATGTTACCGGATCATTAATTCAACTATCAAGTATGAAAAACAGATCAATATCGCAGAGAGCTGTGTCAAATTACCTCAACAAAACTACTAACAGAAAGAAAGAGAAAAAAAGTAAGCACCTTACCTTTCCATAAAGCGTTGATCTTATTTGACTGAAGGTTTCGCCAAACTCCTGAATAATTAGTTTCATATTGACATTCTCATAATTTTATTGGATAAAAATCTAAACATGAGCTATAATCATGACTGCTTAATGGGTCAAACTGTGCTTGCGTTGAAGGACTTATACAATCAGAATCCTCATTCTAACTACTTCCAATCGTGATGTACTGAATTGTGTAAGATATGTGGGGGAATATGTGAGAAAATCAATAATAACTAGTTTACAACGCGTGAACCACGCATTGTATCCGTAGCGGATCAACAATTAATACGGGAATTCATTTTTTAAGCCTATGAAGTAGATTGGGATTTATTGATCTAACCTGACAATCTATGATTCAGTTATTTGCCAACAAGCTCAACTAGTATATATTAGCAAATCCTTTCTAAAATTTCTACAGGGTGAATAACTCACCATCCCTTTTTCTTTATTTGTGGGTACATTTTGAACCACACAAAATCCGTAGGTAATGATTTTTTCCAGGAATCTAAAATAAAAGAATCAGCAATATAGTTACGTTATCATTCATTCTATCATTCAATATTTCAAAATAGTTTAAGACCAATGAATTCTTTTTTTTTTATATATATAAAGAGATATTGATCATGCAGCACCTACCCGAATAATCCTCCTTCTGTTAACGTACTATCATAGTCGGCATACGGAACTGAGTGTTTAGAAGGATGAGCCATGACGCATTTACGTTTTTCTAAATCTTTATTGATGCAGGAATCACAGTTGCAATTTGACAATAAATAGTCAAGAGATATTTTGGTCACATGATTTGGGTATACATCCTTTGTAATAATGCAATGCAATTCTTGCCCTGCATACAAATAAAAAAATTAATCAGAACTCAACTCGAAAATATTTTTATTTCCATGCCATAATATCGGTATATATATACCAAATATACTCGCTTATAGCTACAATTTTGTAGTGCAGATTATAAAGAGTTCATTTATGATGTAAAAACACATTCCACGAAAAGACTGAAAATCATTGGGATGTTATAAAGACAGACAGGACACAAGATGTCGAGACAAAAGTTGTTGATTGTTAAATGCAGCAGCAACGAAAGCCCGTGTTACGCACTGCCCTAGAATACAGTGTTTTATTAAGTGTTGTCAAGCATATATTCGTTTGTTTGAAATTTGAAATAAGAACCTGAAACTGTTGCATTTTCTATCATAATATTGTCTTCAAATTCTGTTCTGTCTAATGGATACATTCCTGAGAATGCCGGTTTGCATTTATCACACGAACAATTGAATCGAAGCCATTTGCTGCTGCATCTGAACATATTTCAACAGTGTAGACAAGTACTAGCTGTTGGTTTCTTAAGAGACAGACACTGACATATAACATATTGTCAAAAATATTAAGTAGTGTAAATTCACCTTCGTTTGTGATCATTTCCCCAGTCAACAGCTAAACATAGACCATCCTTGGCAATGTCAATATTCTTTATTCGTATTTCCGGCATTGCATTGAAGTTGAATTTTACTCAATAACACACCTCTGTGAAGCTAGCAGCAAAACACGAAATTGTGACTGACAGAATCGCAGAAAATACCCACGCGTAAAAATAAACGTTCCCAATGATTTTTAAAAGAAAGTGTATATTTTGATTAGTTTCACAATAGCAATTAAAGCAAAACAATCAATAATTCACCCCCCTCGTATTGTTAATATATAGTAAACAAGCTAAAGCAACTGTTACAGTGCACAAAATTTTTTTATAATTCTTTGAGAGATGTTTAAAAATGACTGAATTTTCGTCGTGTAACATGGTCGTTTCATGAAAACCTCCAATAAAGGCAGCATTGCAACACCATTGGTGAAAAGTAGAAACCTCAAAGATTCGATTTCAATATGTCAGAACAGTCTCAGCACGTTTTGACTTGACCATATATAATACTAAACATAGCGTATATTCTTCAATTTTTAAAACAATGTATATACAACAAATTTGAAACTGATTTTGTATTTCAACTAAATTTATTGGATAGTTCATCAAAGAAGATGTTTTTCTCTTTGTCACACAACAATAATGCACTTCATTAAACTTAGAATAAGTTGAGGAAAGTCTGAAATACCGAAAAAATAATTACGCCCTCTTGTGGATTCTTTGATAAATTTCACAAAATTATCGTTTTTGAAAGGGCGATTTCTCAAAAACCGCCAATAAAGGCAGCACTACGACACATTCGAAGAAAAGCAGATACCCTATAGATTCGATTTCAATATGTCAGAACAGTAGAAGCACGTTTTAACTTGGCAATACATGATACCAAACATAGCATATAATTTTCAATTTTATTAACCATGTAGATGTAACATATTTAAAAACGGTTTGGTATTTCAACTAAATTTACTGGATAATTCATCAAATACTTTTCTCTCTTGGCCATATATCACAACTGTACGTTCATTAAACTTGGAATAAGTGGCAAATCTAAAAATAACAAAAAATGATTTTACGCCCTCTTGTGGATATTTTTAGGAATTTCAAAAAAATATCGTTTTTGGAAGGGCGATTTCTCAAAAACCGCCAATAAAGGCAGCACTACGACACATTCGGAAAAAAGCAGATACCTTATAGATTTGATTTCATCATGTCAGAACAGTAGCAGCATGTTTTGACTTGGCCATATATAATACCAAACATAGCGTGTATTCAAAAAGTTATAAACAATGCAGACGTAACATATTCAAAAAACGTTTGGTATTTCAACTAAATTTACTAGATAAATTATCAAACATCTTCTTTTCTTGGACATACATATATACTGTACGTTCATTAAACTTGGAAATTAGTTGCGGAAAGTATAAAATACCAAAAAGCATTTTACGTCCTTTTATGGATTATTTTCAAAATTTCAAAAAATTATCGTTATTGAAATAGCGATTTCTCGAAAACCGCCAATAGAGGCAGCATTACGACACATTTGGATAAAAGCAGATACCTTATAGATTCGATTTTAATATGTCACAACAGTAATAGCACGTTTTGACTTGGCCATATATAATTCCAAACATAGCGTATATTTTCAATTTTATTAAAAAATGTAGATGTGACATATTTAAAAACGGTTTGGTATTTCAACTAAATTTACTGGAAAATTCATCAAATACTTTCTTCTCTTGGGTATACAACAAAACTGTACGTTCATTAAACTTGGAATTAGTGTGCAAATCCAAAAATGCCAAAAAATGATTTGACGCCCTCTTGTGGATCCTTTTCGGAATTTCGAAAAGTTATCGTTTTTGAAAAGGACGATTTCTCAAAAACCGACAATAAAGGCAGCACTACGACACATTCGGAGTAAAGCAGATACCTTATAGATTTGATTTCATTATGTCAGAACAGTAGCAGCACGTTTTGACTTGGCCTTATATAATACCAAACATAGCGTGTATTCAAACTTTTATAAACAATGCAGACGTAACATATTTAAAAACAGTTTGATATTTCAACTAAATTTCCTAGATAATTTATCAAACATCTTTTTCTCTTGGACATACATATATACTGTACGTCCATTGAACTTGGAATGAGTTGCGGAAAGTATGAAATAACGGAAAATCATGTTTCGCCTTCTTGTTGATTATTTTCAAATTTTCGAAAAATTATCGTTTTTGAAATAGCGATTTCTCAAAAACCGCCAATAAAGGCAGCACTACGACACATTCGGAGTAAAGCAGATACCTTATAGATATGATTTCATTATGTCAGAACTGTAGCAGCACGTTTTGACTTGGCCATATATAATACCAAACATAGCGTGTATTCAAACTTTTATAAACAATGCAGACGTAACATATTCAAAAAACGTTTGGTATTTCAACTAAATTTACTAGATAAATTATCAAACATCTTCTTTTCTTGGACATACATATATACTGTACGAATAAGTTGCGGAAAGTATAAAACAACAAAAATTTGTTTAACGCATCCTTGTGGATTCTTTTCATAATTTAAAAAAATATCGTTTTTGAAAGGGCGATTTCTCGAAAACCGCCAATAAAGGCAGCACTACGACACATTCGGAAAAAAACAAATACATTTCGAATTCCATTTCACTGTACTAAAACAGTAGCTGCACGATTGACTCCGCCATACGTAATACCAAACATTTCGTAAATTTCCCTTCTTTTTTGCATTTATTTTTACATTCGCTGATACACCTTGTTCTCTTAGATAGACATTCAAGCATGGTTGTGAACATTGCCTTCTTTCGCAATTTCGCAAGTTATTTGTAAGTTTCTCGCCGTGTTTCAAAAAAATAGGTTTGGATGAAGTGTTTTAATCGTTATCATGTCTTCCGATGAGCTTAAGTTTGATTGCAATAAAAAAAGTGCGATCTGGAAAGACAGCGATTGACTAGGGATAGGCTAAAATGATCCATCATTACTTGTAACCGGTTCGTGGTTTTATATTTTTATGAAAATAATGACTTAGAGCTTGTAAATTAGTTTATATTATTCCAACTTATTCCAAGTTTAATGAACGTTCATTATTGATGTACGTCCAAAAAAAAAAGATGTTTGATGAATTATCCAGTAAATTTAGTTAAAATACAAAATCTTTTTACAATATGTTACGTGTACATTGTTTATAAAATTGTGAATACACGTTATATTTGGTATTATATATGGCCAAGTAAAATCGTACTGCTGTTGTTCTGACATAATGAGATGGAATCTATATGGTATTTTCTTTTCTCCGAATGTGTTGTAGTGCTGCCTTTATTGGCGGTTTTTGAGAAATCGCCCTTTTAAAAACGATATTTTTTCAAAACTTCAAAACAAAAAAAAAACACAAGAGGGCGTCAAATCATTTTTTGTTATTTTAGGATTCGCCGTCTTATTCCAAGTTATATGAACATACAGTTTTGATGTATGACCAAGAGAGAAAAGTGTTTGATGAATTATCCAGTAAATTAAGTTGAAATACCTAACCGTTTTTAAATAGGTTACATCTACATAGTTGATAAAATTAAAAATTATACGCTATGTTTGGTATTATATATGGCCAAGTCAAAACGTGCTGCTACTGTTCTGACATATTAAAATCGAATCTATAAGGTATCTGCATTTCTCTAAATTTGTCGTAGTGCTGCCTTTATTGGTGGTTTTCGAGAAATCGCTATTTCAATTACGATAATTTTTTGAAATTTTGAAAATAATCCACAAGAGGACGTAAAATGCTTTTTGGTATTTTATACTTTCCGCAACTTATTCCAAGTTTAATAAACGTATAGTATATATATATGTCCAACAGAAAAAGATGTTTGATAAATTATCTAAGAAATTTATTTGAAATACCAAACCGTTTTTAAATATGTTACGTCTGCATTGTTTATAAAAGTTTGAATACACGCTATGTTTGGTATTATATATGGTCAAGTCAAAACGTGCTGCTACTGTTCTGACATAATGAAATCAAATCTATAAGGTATCTGCTTTACTCCGAATGTGTCGTAGTGCTGCCTTTATTGGCGGTTTTTGAGAAATCGCCCTTTCAAAAACGATAATTTTTCGAAATTTCGAAAAGGATCCACAAGAGGGCGTCAAATCATTTTTTGGCATTTCAAGATTTGCACACTAATTCCAAGTTTAATGAACGTACAGTTTTGTTGTATACCCAAGAGAAGAAAGTATTTGATGAATTTTCCAGTAAATTTAGTTGAAATACCAAACCGTTTTTAAATATGTCACATCTACATTTTTTAATAAAATTGAAAATATACGCTATGTTTGGAATTATATATGGCCAAGTCAAAACGTGCTGCTACTGTTCTGACTTATTAAAATCGAATTTATAAGGTATCTGCTTTTCTCCAAATGTGTCGTAATGCTGCCTTTATTGGCGGTTTTTGAGAAATCGCTATTTCAATAACGATAATTTTTTGAAATTTTGAAAATAATCCACAAAAGGACGTAAAATGCTTTTCGGTATTTTATACTTTCCGCAACTTATTCCAAGTTTAATGACCGTATAGTATATATGTATGTCCAAGAAAAGAAGATGTTTGATAATTTATCTAGTAAATTTAGTTGAAATACCAAACGTTTTTTGAATATGTTACGTCTGCCTTGTTTATAACTTTTTGAATACATACTATGTTTGGTATTATATATGGCCAAGTCAAAACATGCTGCTACTGTTCTAACATAATGAAATCAAATATATAAGGTATCTGCTTTTCTCCGAATGTGTCGTAGTGCTGCCTTTATTGGCGAATTTTAAAAAATCGCCCTTTCAAAAACGATACTATTTTAAAATTCCGAAAAAAATCCACAAGAGGGCGTAAAATGATTTTTTCGGTATTTCCTACTTTCCGCAACTCATTCCAAGTTTATTGGACGTACAGTCTGTATGTATACCAAAAGAAAATGATGTTTGATAAATTATCTAGTAAATTTAGTTGAAATACCAAACGGTTTTTAATATGTTACGTCTGCATTGTTTATAACATTTTGAATACACACTATGTTTGGTATCATATAT